TTCCGTTAAAAAAAGTAATATCATCGTGAGGATCTATTCCATCTCTGTTTAATAACCTACGTTTTCAAAACATTTTTTGTTCTCTTTGTATCTTATTCCCTCTCCCTCCCTCTCTCTTTCAAGGCTTGATTGGTCTCTCTTATAATAATGGTTACAGTTGCTTTTGTCCAGCTTGACTCTTATTGGTCTATTTTTTTCTGTTATTGTGCCAAATTTAGTTATTAATTGATTTCTGAGCTGGTTAATACGGGGTAGATTAAACTAGATATATTGAGTTTAGATACCATGGAAACGTTAGTGGTTCACACAGCAGTGTTATACTATGACAAGCCCTAACAAGCACGTTCCAGTGCTGTGCAAATAATTTTATGAATATACTGTATAAAGTACTGTTGATGATGTTGCCGAAATCGATAAAACTCATTTATAATCCAAGGGTATTATCACATCAAATTATCCGGCATTTAAGATTATCGTGGTACGTACTAAAATAATGGGGAGAAAGGATTGGAGGTGAAAGATATATCGCTAAGTTGTTCAGATGCATTAAAATAAACGTGTTGAATTTATAGTCCTCTCATAATGCTCCATATATATGTTGACTGTGTTAGTGTCTGTGAGTATGGTATGTACTTTGCGCCGTCTAAGTACGAATTACTGTTACAAGATTGGCAGGAGACTGTACCTGTACTCACTCTTGCTGGTGAACCGCTTGAAATTGTTGTTGAAAAGTTTGTGTATCTGGGTAGTTGTGTGAGTGCTGGCAGAGGGGTGATGGATGAGATTTCCAACCGTATAATGAAAGCTAGGGTGGTATACATCAACTTCAGCCACCTCTGGCGCCATCGCGACGTTAACCTGACTGTCGAAGGTCGGGGATGCAATGCTTCGGTGCGGGCTGTCTTGCTCTACGCCAGGCCTGTGAAACCTGGCCTCTCCGAGTAGACGATGTGCTGCGGCTCTGTGTGTTCTATCATCGCTGTCTCCGCAGAATTGCTTGCGTTCGATGGCATCATCGCGTGAGTAATTCTGAGATTCGGTGGTGTGTGTTTGAACACAGTGGAGACCACCATTCATTGAGTGCCGTCATCTGGAAACGCCGGCTCCGGTGGCTTGGACATGTGCTGAGAATGTCATCCCAGAGGCTTCCATACAGGTCTCTGTTCGCCGGTTAGTCCTGGGACGGGATGGAAAAGGCGTGGTCAGTCCATGACGTGGTGCCGTGGGATGAAAGATGATTGTGCTAGATTAGTATCGGTTGGTGCGTCACGACTCCCTGGTTGGGGTCCGCGAGATAGCTCAAATCGATGGCTCGAAACAGTATCGGATATGTCCGAGAATCGTAATCAATGGCGAACTTGTTGCAATATCCTTCTTTCTTCCCTCCCTGATGATAGTGGACGAATACTGTTTGAACTTGTTAAGCATGACTGTTATACTTCCAGATGAAGTTCTCTATTTATATTTTTTATTACTTTTGATCTTTGTTGTTTTATTATTATTGCGTGGCGCATCTTTCTCGGTGTCATATTGTACCAAGTTTTTTTTCTTCGTTCAAATAAATTTTTTCTGCGTTTAAATAAATATGTTGACTGGTGATATAAAACATTCCGCTAAGTCATTCAGCACATAGCATCACTTCATTTTGATGGTTACTGTTCCTAAGATATTGAAACTTTGGTGACATAGACTTAAGTTAACCATTTTCCTTAAAGAAACTAGATTAGAAGACAAATAACAATGAAAGCAATATACGTCTTATTTGTTGTACACTTTATCTACGGCAACTTACGGATCCTCAGCAATATACTTAATAATAAAAGACGTGACGTTTAAAATCTCTATCACTACATCCTTAAAACCACTTAGACGATATACTGAACTGTAATTATATCACATAGTTAGTTTTGGATAATAAGGAGTTCCGTTATTTACTCTGTATTGACTATTCCCCTCCCCCCCCACACACACTTTACACATAATGTCTTCCTGTTTGTTTGTATTTACTATCTTAGGCTACTTACTACACGTAAAGTATCCTGTGATATTTATAAGTTTTACACCTTCGTCAAACGGTTAACTTAAGAATTAACAGAAACTCTTACAAGCATATAGACCTTAATCAGCACAAATTTCAGCATTAATCATGCGTAATTTGTGTTCTCAATAGTTTATTTGATAATGAAAATAATTTCTTAAGATTGTTCAACCAAGATGCCTTCAGGTCTAATCTGCAGAAAAAGAGAAAAGAGATTGTCTACGAACATCGGAGACTACGAAAAGGCAACGATGGGTAGCGCCTTCCTTCCTTCTTTTAACGGACCTATTCAGACGCACCGCATACATACGACTATCTACTGGGATCCAATCAGGAAGTGATTTTTCTGCCCTAACACTCAGTACTATCCCTACACCTGCGGGTCCTCGCGAGCTAGCTGACGGGTTTCCTGACACCCTTAAAGTGAATTTTGCAGATTCACCCTGTTGACCGGGTGAGGTTAAATGAATGACCACACTCGGATCTTGTATGAGTGTCTCCGAAACACAACATACATCCATGGCTCGAGATACCAGAGTTCTTGCTAGTGATTCCTGTTGTCCGATATGGCAGAGGGTCCTGACGTTAAATGCTCCTATATGAAGCTGGCGACGTGGCTTTAAAAGGCTATCTGGGGTGTTTCTATGGCTCTCACCGTTTCTTGTGGTCACAGAGTGAAGTGAAGATTACTCACTAGCCTGAAGAATAGCACCAATTGTAGTAGAGAAGCAAGATGAGGAAGGTGATGTGAGTAAAGGAGAGTGATGCTCAGGAAGGCTTCATGTGCTTTTGGAAGTGTGTAGCGTTGTTACATCCCGGCTGCCCACACCGTGGAAGTTGATTAATTCTTCGGGTACCTGAAAGAGAGAGAGGGTTAGTGTTGCTTGACCGCAGAGCCTAGGGGACAACTGCTTGAGGCCGATCACACATGGCCTGTATGAATTGGTTTCTGGGATTGGTTCCGTATTAGTAAACTTACTGCCGGTTACGGAGCACCGTAGGGTAAGTCGGGATGTACAATTTTTGGGGTCCACCTTTTCTAACCCCCTCTTTCCGGAGTGGAGAGACAGCATAGCTGGCTGGAATGCTGGTCATCTGAAGGATACACCTCACTGCTGTTACACCCCTGTTCCTCAGCAGTACGACTTCGTCCTCAGGCCACCAGCATAGTGTAAGAAAGATTCTTACGCTGAGCCGGTAACTGTTTTTAGTCTAATAGATATCCTAACAACCTTCCTGGTAGTAGGACCTGCAGGAACATTGGTTCCAGACAGTGTAGCTTGTTGGGTCATCGCGATGTGCAAGCCCGACCACCATGTCAAGGCAGCAGCTATTAATGTAAATGCTGCAAGTAAATTCAGTCAAGTAGCATATTGAATTTCAGTTTCGTTAAACGCATAAAATATTTAAAATAACTGTTTTAAGCTTGATCACGGATTGTATCAATTAAGGATCCAGTAAAAACCAGCTTAGAGTACTGGGCAGTTGTTTCGTCCTGCTTCGGGACTCTTCATGAGTATAGATCTACGCCCCCCCCCGAGATCAGACCGAGGACTTTCAAGCTGCAAGGCCCAGTCCGTTGACTGTTCAGCCACTGTAACGGAATCCAATATGGATCATGAATTCTAACTTGTGTCAATTCACTATTTTTAGCACCACCACAAGTGGGTCGGTGGCACAGCGGTTAGCTGCTCCCCGACCATCCACAGGGTCCGGAGTTCGATCCCCGGCCACTGACGCACTCCTTTAACTCGCTAAACCAGTATTAAAGCTGGCAAAGAGGAAAGGTTGGGTATGAGGCTAGCCTTAAAAATAAACACTGCTACAGAAACTTCAAGTCCTATGTTCCACTGGGAACGTGAAGGAATAAAAAAAAAGCGCCACCATTGACCAATATCATAGGCGCGAGTATTCGCCCTCACACACCCCAGCTGGTGAACTCCACTAGTAAACGATGTCTCACTAGAATTCCGGGTAACTTCGTCCGGTAATTAGTCACTGTTGAGCATTGAATTAATCTTCAAGTGTGCTCTTGTAAAGATTTAATTGGTCTCAGTGATATCCCCTAACTGATATCAAACCAGTAACCAATCGAATTTCTACAAACTAATTCTTTTGAATAATA